TTCTCGGCAACGGTGGCGTGACGGTGAGCGGCGGCGGCCCGACGGGTGATCTTCGGCAACGGATGTCCTCTAATGGCAACGGGTGGCTCGTATTACTACTCGGCGACTCGGCAACCGATGGAGCGGAGCGACCTAGCAAGACTAGCGAGACTCGTCAGGCACCGCCGCTCCCATAATTGCACACTACACATGAGTAGGGGCTGGAATGGGGGCGGCGGTAGCCGTGGCTCGGCCAACCGGAGACGATATAGTGCGTCCGAAAACACACCACTAGGCGCCAACCGATTGGTCGGGCCGTGCTTGGATTAACCAGCCGGAGACGATTTAGTGCGTCCGAAGGCACACCACTAGGCGCCAACCGGCTGGTCAAGCAATGTTTGGGTTGACTAGTCAGAGACGATTTAGTGCGTCCGAGGACACACCACTAGGCGCCAACCGACCAGTCAAGCCCAACGCTTACCTAGCGAGACTGACTCGCCTGCGCACTTGTTCAGCTTTTTATACCCGATGCTGTGTATTTCGTTTGAGAATTCGTCGTGTATGCTGTCCCGATGGTAGCTGGCGAACGAAGTGGTTGGTATGCTGCTAGCAGTGTTTTGCCTGATGCTGTATGAGTGTGCCGAAAAGTACATATGTACAGTGTCGCGTATGTACGGTGGTATATATATGTGCAGTGGAGTGTGTATGCTTCGTTTGTACGTTGTCGATATGTATCGGAAGGTATGTATATGCGTTGTTATGTGTGTACCGTGGTGTCTGTATGTATGTATAGTGGGATATGTGTGTACGGTGGTATATATATGTGCAGTGGAGTGTGTATGCTTCGTTTGTACGTTGTCGATATGTATCGGAAGGTATGTATATGCGTTGTTATGTGTGTACAGTGGTGTCTGTATGTATGTATAGTGGGATATGTGTGTACGGTGGGGTGCGTATGTACTCCAACGTGCTGTGTACTATTGTTTCGTAGTGAATTGCTACGTTACAATATGCCTACATTAGGGCGGATCCCTAATGTGTCAGAATAGTAGGGCTGGACATTATTTTGTGGGAATATTTAGACTGATGGTCTAAATATTCCGGCCCACTTGTGATAAGGAAATCTAAGAATTTGGACGCGTTTCAGCCACCAAGCTCTCTCTGTTGTCTTATATAGTAATAGGTAAAGTTTTTTAGAAAAAACAGTTTTGTTCAGCATCAGGTAACCACTGCGACAGTCATCGCTATGAGCTTCGTCTTTCTTCTTCCTAAATTGCTATAAAAAAGGGGAGAATTAAAGGTACAATAGTGGTTACAATTCAATGCACTTTATTTAAAAAAATAATAATTCAAATGAAAATAACGTAAATCCAAGCAAAATGGCAATTAATTACAAGTTAGGCTCTTTATACGCCCGAGAGGACCCATCCAAAGATGGTACTCTGAGCTAAAAGTGGTCCGACGGATGTGGGCAGAGTCCCAGGCAGAATAATGTCTGCGTAGACGTCGGCACCGAGTATTAAACGAATCGGTGATGAGCCATAAAATCTTGGGTCTGCTAGTCGTATGTGCGCATATGGCTCAGCTATTGCGTGGTCTACACTGCTGGATGGGGTAACGCGATTGAAGTGCGGCGAGAGAACGGCCTGAGTCACAATGCGATTATTTTTCCCATGCTTTCCCCTGAGTCGCAAAAGGCAGCCCTTTTCTCCGCCCATGCGCGTTTCATCCAAACGCAACTCTCTGGCTAAATAAGACGAAATTATGGATCGGCTAGCGCATACATAGATGAGGGCACGAACTAAATGTAGCCGCCCTCCAGCCTCGACTTTCACCATGGCCGTTGAAGCGATGGGGACCATGGGTCGTAGCGTATGGCCAAACGTTCCGTTTCGGAATGCACGTGGTTTGAATACCTGGCGAGACCGAGTCGCCAGTCCATCTTCCATGCGTATGCGCCGTGAGGACTTGCGGTTTGATCTACGCGGGCGAAGAGGCCTAATTTCCGCTCCGCGCATNCGAGTCGCCAGTCCATCTTCCATGCGTATGCGCCGTGAGGACTTGCGGTTTGATCTACGCGGGCGAAGAGGCCTAATTTCCGCTCCGCGCATCCGATTCCGCTCATGTTGCAACAGGGGTCGGAAAGTCCTAGTTTCCGATACCCCTTCGGTGAGAGCGCGGAGAGACCGAGCCTCCGCTGCCGGCTCTATTGGTCCGCTTTCCTCGGCTTCTGGACGGAAAGGTCCCGTTTTCCTTCCAGAACCGGACGCAATTATCGAGAGCGCATCGTCGGAACAGCCTTCTTCTTCCTCCGCCACCTGTTGTGCACATGATTTTCTAGGCGTGTGATGAAGAGCGCCCCGTCTGAACTGCCATCCTCCTCTTCCTCCACCTGTTGTGCCCATGATTTTCTAGGCGTACTTTCGGGCTCGTCCAAATGCAGCGTCGAGTGATGTTTTTCACCACATCGGCGGCATCTTCCCTCGCTCGTGCAGTTTTTAAGCTGGGGCGTCATCGCGAGGCAATTAGCGCAGAAGCGGCCCAGTAGTCCTTCCCGTAATCTCTCCTCAGGGGATTTTCTCGATAGATTGGGCAGAGCCTAATAGGGTGATTCGCTTCGCATAGGTGGCACGGCTGCGGATAACGGCGGCTGCATAGCTCAGTCTTTTTCCTCCAGGCAGTGACATAAGGCATGTTTCCTTCTGAAATTATGTCATAGTTTTGTTTGTATATGTACCCATGTAGATCTATTGTTGGGTGGCGAGTGGTATGAAAGGCGCAACATTTTGATGAGTGCAAACGCGTAATTCGGTGGGTGTGAACTTGGCATTATATATATATACATAAGATTAATTTGTGTGNCATAGTATACTGAACGTAAATTAGCTACGAAAATCGTTTTGTGGATCGTATGCCTGCCTTTACACGATCAATATTTTTTTTCTCCAAACAAGCAAGTTGCCCAAGCAAGTTGCCGAGCAAGTTGCCCACTCATGAGGTAAAAAACCGGTGTTAGTAAAATCGTACTTTTTTTATTCTCGGCCATAAATCGTGGAAAGTGCCCACCGCCACTAATTTCGAGAGTATAATTTAAATTTGTATTTCCTTTCTCTTTAATGTTATATGCTAATAGTGCTTTACCATCTTTCTGACAGTTTCACAGCCAATAATGTGGCCTGCCCCCCAAAAAGGTTAACATCCTACTGGGCATGATTTCGTTATTCATATCTTATATTTGGAACGGAATGTCATATTTACCTTTGTATTTTATATTAAAAATTTTAAATCTGTAAATAAAGTTTTTTGGGCTTTTTAATGAAAAAGTATTTTCATATAAGCATGGCCAGTAATTAACAATTGAATTGCAGAATATTCATATTTTTATGTAAGCCTGGCCAGTTATTACAGATTGAATTACAAAAATTATCGTTAGTATGGTCCACCCATGTTGATACAGCGAACTGTTGGAAAGTTGTCCATCATTGTTCGCTGCTTATGAGGTGCTTTATGTGGAACTTTTGTATCTACATAGATTCCACAAAAAGGTTGTTTTCCATTAACAAAGGTTGGGTTATTTAGTGAATGGCCACGCGGTTTCGTGAGTATATGTAGTACTACAAATATTTTACCATATTCTTATAATTGTTCAATTTCCAGGAAGGCGATGAATGCACTTTGTGTGGAAGTATACAACAAAATAATTTTGCTACCAACTGCAGAAGGAACCCACGGATTACCTACACTGGGGTGATATGGTGTTTGCCATTGGCATCTTTGTATAGCATGGCAACCAAAAATCTGGCATATGCACATACATACGTATGCTTTTCCAACAAACGAAAAAAAATGCTGCCCCGTGCCACAGGCATATTTAAAACTGCGACCGTTTGCTCGATCCCAAAAAAACAAGGCATCTTCTGTCGGCTTCGGGGCATCGTGTAACGTATCGAACGTAGTGGTATCAAATCAATATATTTTCATATTACATATGCTTTTGTTCGATTTTTTCGTAACCTTTTTCTCATTTTCAGATTGCGCTTCATTCTTCCTAACGTAATTCGTTTTGTGGATCGTATTCACCTAAAGCTGCCTTTATACGATCAATATTGTTTTTCTCCAAACAAGCAAGTTGCCGAGCAATTCATCAAAATGTTGCGCCTTTCATACCACTCGCCACCCAACAATGCATACTAATATCTACGCGCTTTGATAAGCTATGCAAGGTACGCAATAAGGCGTAAATAATAAACGTGGTAAAATCGTGATGTGTGCAACGTACGCAGCAAATATATATGTTAAAAAATGTGCAATATTATACGGAGTTGAATCGCTTATGCGTAGTGATTTAGTGAAAATCTACTATTGGTTCAATGCAAATAATAAAATTTAGAGGTTATGTATCCTCGAAACAGTGACAAAGTGTTCGCAAATATACAAAAGAATTTAACCCAAATAAAAGGTGAAGTGGAAAAACGATCAGAAAAATGAAGATTATGATTATGGACTGTGAATTTAAACAAAATCGAAATTCTTCATTAACAATATTATGTGATACGGATCACTGCTGTGAGTGTATATATACGCGTGTTTGCAAAGTGCAATTATTTTTTGGTTGCCGTTCGCGGACGCAATTTGAACCAAGACTCTAAAAAAATGTGTAGCAAACCAACGAGTACTGTGTGACACTGTGTGTGTATATGTTAATGTTGCAAGAACACCTGTTCGCTGTTGTCACTTGTGGACGGACAGACTAACCTCAATTATTAACAGTGTGGTTTCAAAATTAAATGCTCCAATTGTATATTTTCAGTTTAAACACTCGCGAGATTCTAGTTAGCACACGCGCATTGAATTTAAAAACGTTTTTTTTTAGCAATTTTCTAACAAGTGCAATTGAAATTATAACCACGGAGCTTGAATTAGAAGTGATTGGTGTTTGGTGGTTGTAGTGCTGTATGCTCGTTGGTGTCCTGGCAAATTTAGGTGTCGTAGCAAGAAAGCTGAGTGTGGTTGTGTTTGAGTTTGTTGGTGCTGTAGTTGCCGGTTGGCTGGTTTGTGGCACAGCTGACTGAATCACTGGCAATTTCGCTGGCGCAGGGATAAAAAGCGTTGGTGTTATAAAAAGCCGTGGTTGCTGATGTGGTTAACAAAAATCGCTCGTTGTTGAAGCTCTGTGTGTTGTGCTGGTACTTTCAATGTGGAGTGTATTAAAAATCTCGGTTCCGATGGACCATGAAGAAACCCAGTTGCGCCGCAGGGATTTCGAATGAGCGCACCCGTGGTTTTATTGAAGATAATAGAAAAGGAGGAGAAGCTTCGCCAAACACTAACATATGTGTAAGTGCCAATCTATTATTATTATTAATAGAAAAGATATAAAACGCAATTGGATTAGTATTTTGTAATATTTATTGACGTCAAATTATTTGAACAACTAAGAATATTTCCTTCTCGTGACAATGAGATTACCTGTACTGAAGAGGCCTGGTAGCTGCGATGCTTCCGCTTTGGTCTTCCAAAAAGAAGTGAAGTAAAGGATTTACTGAATTTTACTTTAGACCGTTAGCTACCGCTTCAAGGGGAAACTTAACGAAAGTTCGCTGTCCGGCGGGATATAATAGTTAACGGCCGGAATAATAGTGTCAGCGCGTATATGTATATGTATGTATTTGTGTCTACATATGCCTACATTAGGGCGGATCCCTAATGTGTCAGAATATTAGGGCTGGACATTATTTTGTGGGAACATTTAGACTGATGGTCTAAAAAACTGCTAAATAGTAGCAGCACGGAAAGTTGCGGAGAAGAAGAACCCGCAGTCGATTATGATGGAGTCGACGTTTCACCGCCTGACTATGACGAGGTACGTATAGCAATAACGCGGCTGAAAACCAACAAAGGCGCTGGAGCTGACAGCCTGCCAGCTGAGCTATTCAAGTACGGCGGCGAGGAGTTGATAAGGTGCATGCATCAACTCTTGTGCAGAATATGGTCAGATGAACGCATGCCCGACGACTGGAATTTAAGTGTGCTCTGCCCAATCCACAAGAAAGGTGACCCCGCCATTCGCGCCAACTACCGCGGGATCAGCCTTCTAAGCATAGGTTACAAGGTCTTATCGAGCGTATTGTGTGAAAGACTGAAGCCCACCGTCAATGAACTGATTGGGCCTTATCAGTGTGGCTTTAGACCTGGCAAATCCACCATAGACCAGGTATTCACAATACGCCAAATCTTGGAAAAGACCCGCCAGAAAAGGATCAACACTCACCACCAATTTGTCGATTTTAAAGCCGTTTTTGACAGCACTAAAAGGAGTTGCCTATACGCCACTACGTCTGAATTTGGCATCCCCTCAAAACTCATACGGCTGTGTAAAATGACGTTGAGCAATACCACCAGCTCCGTTAGAATTGGGAAGGACCTCTCCGAGCCGTTCGCCACAAAACGGGGTTTCAGACAGGGCGACTCCCTTTCATGTGACTTCTGTAATCTGATGTTGGAGAATATATTAAGAGCTGCAGAACTGAACCGCTCAGGAACAATTTACTACAAGAGCGTGCAATTGCTGGCCTATGCCGATGACAGCGACATCAGCGGTAACAAAAACCGCGAAGTCTGTTCTGCCTTTTCCAAGTTGGATAGGGAAGCAAAGCGAATGGGTCTGGTGGTAAACGACTACAAGACGAAGTATCTCCTTTCATCAAACAAACAGTCAGCCCATTCGCGCCCTGGCAACCGCGTTACTGTTGACAGTTTCAGTTTCGAGAAAGTAGAGAATTTCGATTACTTGGGAACCAGCATTAACACCGATAATAATGTCAGCATTGAAATCCAACGTAGAATCACTCTTGCCAACAAGTGCTACTTTGGACTGAGTAGGCAATTCAGGAGTAAAGTCCTCTCTCGACGTACGAAAACCACGCTCTATAAGTCACTCATCATGCCCGTGCTGGTATATGGCGCAGAAGCATGGACAATGACAACATCCGATGAGGCGGCTCTTGGGGTGTTTGAGAGAAAGATTTTGCGGAAGATTTACGGTCCTTTACGCGTTGGCGACGGCGAGTACCGCAGACGATGGAACGATGAGCTGTATGAGCTTTACAACGATATGGACATAGTGCAGCGAATTAAAATACAGCGGCTCCGCTGGCTTGGTCATGTCGTTCGAATGGACACCGACGCTCCAGCTCTGAAAGTATTCAACTCGGAACCCGCTGGTGGTAGCAGAGGAAGAGGGAGGCCCCCACTGCGATGGAAAGATCAGGTGGAGAAGGATTTGGCTTCACTTGGCGTTTCCAATTGGCGTAAGTTGGCACAGAAAAGAAATGACTGGCGTGTTTTGCTGAACTCGGCCAAAATCACTTAGGCGGTTACAGCGCCAAAAAAGAAGAAGAAGCCATTCAGAAGGAATTGCACACAAAATTCCATACAAAAAAACACAATTTTCGATTTTTCCGATTTTCCCGGAGGGATTTCCCGAAATTTTCTTTCGTAAAAACCTTCTCCTGACAGTTGCGAACAACAAAGAGAAATTTTTAGCCAAAACCGCCCAACCGTTCTCAATTGATGAATTGCTATAAATTTTTCACACCATTTTTATACATACATTCTTGCCACTGCTAATCACATGAATAAAAACCCTAAAACGAAAATTTGACTGCAGTATTTCTTGTTTATAATGTTGTAGATCCATCGCACACCACGGATTTTATCGGCCGCAGATTTAGTTGGGCTTGCTAGTTTTTCCATTGCACCATAACTAATTGGTCGGAGCGATTAAGTTGGTGTAGTGTGCGCACCTCCATACATCTTCAAGTACATACTTCAAGCGAGCCCTACTATTTAAATAGGCGGCCGATAAATTCTGTGGTATGAGGTGGCTCCTATAGCTGCATTATTACATATATGTATTCCGTGTGTTGCAATATCCACGGAAGCAGAAGTTATGTGGCCGCCTGACAGAGAATACACCGTCGGAGCTTATAAAGGCTCGAGTTACTGCCCGGTATAGTTTGTGTGCTCCCGCGCTCGTTGTAGAAACTTAATCGACTTAAGGTACGACCGCACTAGGCGACGCGACACATCACAACACAGCGCGGAAAAATATTCTTTGTATGGATTCGTATGGAGGATACGGCACTACGCTGTAGCGGAGCTACGCGACGTGATGCTGCGCGGAAAAGTTGACTAACTAGGGAAAAATGTCGCGCCGCGTTGTGTCGCGCAGTTCCGGTGCCGCATTGTGCGGTATACCCAGCGGAACAACATTCATTCAAGAAGAAAGTTTTATGTAATGAAACATAACATATGAGAATAATTCGCCAAGAAAAATAAAAGGCATTGACATTACATCAGCGTCACTGGCATCCATCTTGTTTGAAGGTTTTGACACAAATAAATTAAAAATTTTGCAGCCAAGTGTCGTGCCGCTGCAGTTTTAGTGCGGTATACCAAAAAGTGTCGCGCCGTGTAGTGTAGTGCCGCTGCAGTGTCGCGTCACTTAGTNATCCATCTTGTTTGAAGGTTTTGACACAAATAAATTAAAAATTTTGCAGCCAAGTGTCGTGCCGCTGCAGTTTTAGTGCGGTATACCAAAAAGTGTCGCGCCGTGTAGTGTAGTGCCGCTGCAGTGTCGCGTCACTTAGTGCGGTCGTAGCTTTACTTGCCCATTTTCCATTTGCTTACCTGCTTTAGGAATGGAACGTTTCTAAGCATTACTCGAAATAGAATAACATGGAAGGGAATGGAACGTATCTAAGCATTACTCGAAAAAGAATAACATGAAGGTAGTTATCGAGAATAACCTGAGATCAGCAAAGCCAAATAAATTTTAGTCAACACTTGTACAATGAAATTACAGATTTTTAATTTTAATGTATTACCAAATACAACTAAAACTTTCTGGAGCTAAAAAGGTGCTAGATAATTTTGAAGAGAGCTGAAAAAATAGGTTGGAGCTAAAGCACAATTTTCGGAGATAAATAGAAGAATAAAGAGCTACATAAATCTAGCTCCAAAAGCACCAAAATGGCAACACTGACAAACACTTGTACCTCACACGTTTAAGCGTTAAATGATGTTTCAGCGACAAGTGATTCGCTCTCGCATTCGTAATTCGCTCTCTCACTCGTTATTGGCGCCTTAATTACGAGCCGAATCACGTAATTCGCCATACAAAATTTTGAGAGCGAATCGCTTCATTCGTTGGTGATTCAGATCCAATCACCATGCGAATCAAGAACAAAT